TTAATTCAGTGGTCTTGCTTAAGAAATGGACGTAAGCCGTAATCAAAGAACCTTCGTACAATTACTTTATATACTTATTATAACATGTGCACTATATTTAACAGTTGTTCCTCCATGAGCCCGCACCTGATAAGAACTGGCTATACCAATCTCGTATCCAACAAGTCAGAAACAGGAACTAATGGAATAATTGACCACACGATTTGATCACTGAGCTTGTACAGATGAAATGTTACCTCTAAATTCCTGTCGGTTCATTCTGACCCCATCAGAAAACCTGAGTAGCCAAAGAAAGTAAAAGGGAGACGTTGAATTCCACGTGTTTAAAAAATATGTGGATCAAGAATTTCATCAAACCCTAAACCAAACCCAGAGGCTTCACCAAGCAGAAAAAAATTGTTTAGGTTAATATGTAGTTCAGATTGACACTCGAATAAAATATGATTTGTTAAAAGCTTCTTTATAGACACTCTGGTCTTTATGTTTTATCGTTATGTAAATGAAATGGGTGTTTTGTATGGCGTAACATACCGTTCAAAATTCAGTCAGGTTATTTTCCCTATCGAAAAACTAATTTAAGTGTCGAAAATCAATTTAAAGGGCCCGTTATTGTTGGCTTCTTTCAGACCTCCTCATTGTCTGCTATTTCCCGTGTCTGAAAGAAAACATTCAAGGAAAATGACACCCGAGCCATGGGGTAAAAAATGCTCGGTGGGACCCGGCTACGCCAATTGTTTCGTAGATTTTATCGAACACCAATTATTCAGTCAATACAACGGCCCCAAACCTGAACTCTACGATCGCTACATCGACGACTGTATCAGCGCCACCTTTTCTACCAGGGATGAGCTGACTCAATTAATAGCCGTTATCAATTAATTTCGCCTGGCTCTGAAATATACGTAGGAAACTTCCGACACTTATCTGGCTTTTCTAGACATCAAAATTTCAATTAAAGTCAGAAACAAGAGCCAATGGAATTACTGAGTTATTTAATTTTTTCAATTTTTGGTAATCCGTTTTAACTCTCAATTTTCTTCAAATTAAAGCCACCTGAAGTCAATATCATATCTAATCGTCGAAACGGCGAAACTTGAATCACATAAGCAACGGTTAAGTTACGTCCGAAGCTGAATGAAAATTCAACGCAAGCAGTTTAATTCAGCTGTACACGATAGGCAAGCGGGAACAGGGAACAGGTTGATTAAGTGTTTTGTTTAACTGGAACGAAGCAAAGCTTGTGAT